AAAAAAGTGTATTCGAATGTTAATTAACAAATATCATATAGTTATTGTATGAGTTGTAAAAAATAACTAAATTTGCAAATTTAGTTATTTTATAACCCATATAATAACTATTTTATTGCACGATGTCTGACGTAGAACCTCGTGAATAATTACAAAATTATCTGTCATACAAAAATGAATTATCGGAAAATTTAATTCTGTAATTTAAAGGTGTATTTTCATATGATCTACGTGTATTTACATAGTAATAAAAAAAAAAATGCTTCTGATAAACTTTTTAATATCTTGGCTAATTTGTATCAAAATTTACATGATATGTTGCTTATAATAGCGAAGTTGTGTAATGTATATTGGTTTAAAAAAATCAACTTCACATATAACCAAAGTTTTTTCTAAGTCGCTATATGTTTTTCCTAGTTAGTACAAAGATCTGCTAATTCTGATTGGTCAAATCATATTTTGTTTTCATGTAAATCATATGATATTGGTTACACGATGTTGATCTACAATCTATTTTATATGAATTTGGAAATAGTGACTCCCTACATAGTAGAGGTGCGATCCGTTATCCGTTTTCCTATTTAAATTTACGGATATCCGTAAATTTATTTAGTGAAACGGATTACGGATCGCACCTCTACTACATAGGCAGAAATTCGTATGATTGGCAGTTTAAATCAATTTATTTATACAGTTTTTTAAAAAAATAAAACTACTCAGAATAAACAAAAAAGAAGTATATAGAAAGTTTTATTATGTTGTAGGACTCCACTATTAAAAATAATCAAAATTCTTTTTTGTTTTAGAGAAGTTAGCATAATAGCGACTTCATAAAATTAGGTTATCATCATGCTAACTTCTCTAAAACAAAAAAGAATTTTGATTATTTTTAATAGTGGAGTCCTACAATCCTAATATAACTTTCTATATACTTCTTTTTTGTTTATTCTAAGTAGTTTTATTTTTTTATAAAAGTACTTTAAACTGTATAAATAATGTAAAGTTAAATTGATTTAAACTGCCAATCATACGAATGTCTGCCTATGACCCTTAAGTATTACTACATAGCTGATTTTTGGGCAGTGACAATATTGACACTGGTGTTTAGCGATTTAGTATTACTGATAATATAATACTATTTTTTAATACAACTCATTCTCATCATAGTGAACTCTAGAGAGAAAAGAACCGATAGTAAAGAATTTTGATTTACAAAATATTAATCTTAACTCAGCACATATTGTATTTTCTTAATATAAACTATAGTAGGATTTTTTTTTCTTGCATGATGATGAGATTGAGTTGTGGATATATTAAAAATTGAGGTCAATTAATAGTCAACAAATTCTGTGATTGGCGCAAAAATATATATTTTATGTTTATATACAGTAAAACAAAAAAAGAATTATAGTAAAGCATCAAGCTTTATAATATTCATAGTGGGATACACCATCTACTGGTCGCCACAAGATTGAACGAAACCCAACTACTAAAATAAGGAACCCTTTTATATTGTTTGGTTTGTTTTTTCTTGTGGTACTGATTCGTGTATCATAGATACCCGAATCAGTATATCCACCCACATTACCCTTTTCAATTATCTTGATATAAGACTTTAATTGTCTTATACCATTCTCCAAAATTCTATTGATAGTAATTTGGATATATTGTTCGTTATCCCTTGATAAAAAAGTATAGGGCGTCTTCAACAGAGCTTCCTCATTTAATGTTTCCAGCTCTCTATCCAATTGATCATGCTCTGTTGTATCGAACTTTTTTGCTGTTTGACCAGTTTTTGCTTTCAACAATCCACCTGTTGAAATATATTTAAGCTCTATACTTACGCCCTGACCAGCCTCCCCAAGAAGAAATAAATCCAAAAACCCAAATCTACCTTCACCCTTCTCTTTTTGGCCATTCATTACTAATCTTAGTTGTGGGATGCGATAGCTCGGCGGAAGAAGAGTTTCAAAAATTCCTTGGAGAACTTCTTCATTAGCCGGAGCTAAAGACATCGGAGACCTTGTTAGTAATGATAGCTTTAAGAGCTGGATGAAAGTTGTAACGTCACCCTTAATAAGGTCATTATAAGCATCTGACCCACTTATTTCTTTACGCGGTATGGGTTTCTTAAATTCTGATAGTATTTGTTCCCAGAATTTTTTATACTTTTTGTTGTGGCGAGAACGGTCTATATCGTCCTGTTTTTAAAGAAAATTTAGTAAATCACCAACTCTTTATTCAACATAAAAGAAAGTATATAGCGGTTCTTCCCTCAGGACTAGCAAACTTAAATATTAAAAAAGTTAAAGTGCCTGAATTTGAGACCCGGAGTAGTTACCAAGTTTGACAAACCTAGTAATTCTCTCGAAATAAATGTAACCAAGAGTTACACCAAGAATTGCTACTACTTTGTGAAATAATGAATTAAAATCACACCTTATTTTTTAATTCCACGAAAGCTTTCTTATCAAGTTTTTCCTCAGCAACTCCCACAAACCGCTTGCACCAAGCATTGTCCATCGAAATCGAATTATACGGTTTGCTAATAGATTGTAGGACTTGAATAATTTCATTTTGATTATTGCAGAGGAAATCATAATAGGAAAAATTCTTTTTTCCTGCCTTTTCAGTAATATATTTGACTAGAACTAAATATTAAAAATACCCATCCGGTTGTTAAATATATAATTTTTTTTTTTTTTTTTTTTGGAAATTTCCAATTTATGACCCAGCCGCTAATTAATTCAAAGTGAAAAGTAAAATAAACTTACAATTGTATCTAGTTTTTTGATCCTTTTTTTTAATAGAGATCGTATCTCTTTCATCAACTTCTGCTTTACGTTTTTGTGCAGCTTTGTTAGAGATAATTTTCTTCTCAGGTGGGCTGTTAGAAGATTTTTTAATGGGGACCATATCTCTTTCATCTACTTCTGCTTTACGTTTTTGTGTAGATTTTCCAGAAGTAATTTTCTTGGACGGACTCATGGAAGAGTTAGATACTTTTTTATTAAGGATCATATTTTTTTCGTCCACTTCTGCTTTACTATGTTTATTAGTATCAACTTTCTTTTCAGACGGGAGCATATGTGAATTAGGGATTTTTTTACGTGTAATAGGGATACTATTTGTTAAAGATTTGTTTTAGAAAAAAAAGTGTCAAATTTTATTATAAAAGTTACGCGTTCGTTTACCAATTTTTATGACACGAAAATTCTATCATATATACATGATTAATTAGCATGACGGAAGTTCTTTTTTATTGGCCACAAATGTGCACATTGCAGATCCTAATTTGTTAGATATGATTGGCCAA